TTGAATCTCTTCTGACATAAATGATGATCCTCTGTCGCTGTGTATATATAAAGGCTGACTATATTCATAAAAAATATCCCTTAGACACTTAATTACAGTTGCAGAAGATGTGTCTGGGCATGCATACGCGAATGGATATCGCGAGTATTCATCGATTATCGATGTCGATGTCGATGGCAAGGGCCCTTTAAAATCTATGTTTAGCCTCTCGAATGGCGATAAGGCTTTAATTAGAATCCCTTTTGCTTTAGCAAAGCGTGGTTTGGTTTCCGCACATACGCGACAAGAAGTATCTGTTTGATATCATTTATAGAGTAAGGGAGATTCTTCAACTTAATCCAATGATACATTCTAGTAATCCCAGGATGAGAAAGAACGTCGTGAAACTCGTATAATTTACTGTTACTCATAAACGCACAAACTCTAGATAGAGCGTCGGCAGCAGTATTCTGATTTCCTGGTCTATAAACAATATCGTACTTGTAACACGACAGTTCCAGCCTCCACCTTTCAATTTTATCGTTTTTAATTTTGCTCGCATGGTTCTGATTAAAAATAAAGCTTACGGATTTCTGATCAGTGATGAGGAGAAAATGTCTGTGAATGAGGTAATGACGCCATTTTCTAATGCTTTCGACGATTGCACATGCTTCTTTTTCTACGGCAGCGTGTTTACGTTCGCTGGCTGACAAAGTTCTTGAAAAGAATGCAACTGGGCGACCCTTTTGAGATAATGTTGCAGCTACAGCGAAGTCAGAAGCGTCAGTCTCTACCGTCAAGGTTTCTTTGTCGTCAATAGCAACCAATGCTGCCTTCTCGATTTCTGATTTCAGAAATTTAAAACTACGCTGGCCGTTTTCGTTTAAAGGGAACTGGCTGTTGTTGATTAACGGTTGAATTTTCGCAGAAAAATTGTGGACCCATTTGGCGTAATGAGCGAATAGCCCAAGGGTTCTCTTGAATTCAGTAGTGTTACGCGGTAACGGTAGTTTTATAAGCGGATCAAGGCGGTCCTTATCAGGCTCGATAACATTATTCTTGACCGTGTATCCTAGTAGGCTAATAGAATTTTTGCTGAAATTACACTTTTGTTCGTTTAATGTGAGCTTGTACTTTTTTGCAGCAGACATGAATTTCTTTAAATTCTCAGAATCAGAATCAGAATCAGAATTCGCATTTTTACCGCAAACGGTATACGTCATCGAGATAAGAGAAGGTCCCACGTAACTGTTCTTTTTCGATAATATGTTCAAGAGAACGTTGGAAGGTGGCGACTCCGTTAGTGACACCAAAGGGAATACGTTTGAATTGCCACAGCTTATCACAGGCTTCAAATGCTGTGTATTTTTTTCTCGATCTAGGATAGGGATCTGATGGTAAGCGCTCTTTAAATCGATCTGGTTAAAATGATTGTATTTAGCCAGTTTCGAGACTATCGACTCAATATTAGGTAATGGATATGCATCTAGATATGTAAACTGGACTTGATAGCAATAGGAGTAATATCTGCAGATAAGTTAGTGAAAATAGAAGCTGGTGGTACGGAAGCTTCCATCACGCAAATATGCAAGGGCTGTCTAGATCCTCCGAATTGGAATTCGAGCTTTGAATGGTTCCTTAGTATGTCGTGACCAATAATGACGTCCGCGCATAGGTTGTCAATAACGAGAAAAGGACGTTGCTTGTAAATGTGATTGTTTATTTCTAGCGTAGCGAAACATACACCGTTGACTGTTGATGTGTGGCTTAGAGACACCAGATTAATAGTATGCTTATACGGACGTTGCTGTAACTTCATCATCCGAGCTATGCTTCTGTCAATAAAGCTCACTGAACTTCCTGTGTCAATTAACGCGTCGATACGGGTGTTATTAATAGTAATTGCTATTGTGGCTTTTTCTAGGCTTGACGGAGATGCCGTAGAGTATAAAGTGTTGACTGTTTCGTGAGAACATGAACACGGTGAGAACTCGACTGGAGCGACGGGGCTTGGGATGGCGTTACTTGTAGAAGGATTGCCACGGGAACGACAGACAGAAGCAAAGTGACCCTTCTTAGTACACATTTGACAGTAGGCGTGAAAGGCGGGGCACTTTATTCTTTGATGTACTTTACCACCGCAGAAGAAACAATGCTTTATTGATAGATGTGGCGGTGGGACTGCAGCGTTTTGTTGAAGCGGTATGAAGGGTGCTGGTAATTCTTGTGGAATTGGCACTGGCAAAGCATTCATAGTATTTTGGACACTCATACTCATAGTTACAGAGTCCTTTTCAGCAGTTTCGAGAGTGACAGCCTGATTATAAGCTTCGTCCAAAGACATAATTTGTTTTTCTAATAATCGTTCCCGAATTTTAGGTGACGGAATACCAGCTATAAAGGCGGTTCGTATAGCTTGGTCTCTGTGTTCTTCAATTGAGACTGCCTGGAAGTTACACTGTTGTGCAAGGATATGCAAAGCTCGGCTGTAATCTGAAATACTTTCACTTTGCTTTGTTTCCGTGTTCCGAGGACGTGGCGGGATAAGATTTCATGTTGAGGTTTAACGTACGTTTTATTCAAAATATTAATGGTGTCCCTGTAGCTTTGACAGTCTTTGATTTGAATGAATATACTGGTTGTCAAGTAGTTCGATAATAATTTTAATTTTATGGAATCCGTTACGTCACCAGAATCAGGGGCATGTTCAGTTAGGAAGTTTGTAAATGTACGCAGCCAATGCATCCACTTATCTCCAGCAGCGGGATCCGTGGGTTCAACATCAAACCTTTCAGGGCGTAAATATCTTACTAGAGAATGTGATAAAGATTCTTTAGAGTCATTCTTCGAGTCGGTCATTATCACTAGTTAATTAAATTGATACATGGAAACGAAATACCAATAGAAACTTGGCTTTAATTAACTAGAAACGAGCACACGTACAATAGATAGATTTAAAAATATTTGTATGACAGATACACTTCAACGATCACAGACAACACATACTGATAATTTAGGAAGCACAAAGGAGATTATATGTCAACTGGCTAGTGAAAATTATTCTTAATGTATATATTTTTCGATTTTTAAAAGCTTCCTTTTTCTTTTGTATGACATCTGTGTGACTTTGTCTCTCTATTAAAAAATCTTCAAAAACAAACACATCTTTCTTGAATATATTTTTACAAATACCTCTCCAAAAGCTCCAATAGAACCCAAATCCAACACGTTATCAGCACGAAGAAGCTCTGGGCAGAGGAGAAGCAGTTATTTGTGTTTAAATATTTTTTCGATTGTGTTTGTCGGAATCGGAAAACAAGACGTTCTGTATAAAAATGTTACGTGAAGCCGGAGATTGCAATCTTTACAAGCAGCAATCTGCAGTTCCCTAATTTTGCCTGAGAAACAAGAGAACAAAACAACAATAAAACCGAGAGGGTAGGTAACCATCATAACGCAATATTAACAAAGAATTTAGTTGTAATTATATATTTATTAAAAAAATTATCTATACGTCAGGCTTTCACTTAAATACAAAACAATAAACTTAACTTAAAAACTTGAAACAAAACAAAAATAGTTTATATAGAGCGAGTAATACAGGAAAGCAAAATTATATTTTTTTTAGCACATATAATACAATGCGGAATCATCTTTTTTCGCTCTTTGTTTTTTCGAATACTGGTCATCGTAACAATTCCATTGTGAATTTCGCCTGCAATGAGCTTCGTAGTGACCAATCTGTATTCCAGGTGAGGGAGGAATAAATTCTATTATTGACAATAAATGAAATTCAGAGCGCAAAGGTTGGGCCCACTGATGCTTAGGCAAGCGATGTTTCATTCTAAAGTCTCAGGTCCATGATTTAACTTTATACGTTTACTTAACGGTTGCATTCGTTCACACTGATAGCTGTTTTACTGACTGCTATTTATTCCTTGTATTTCTTTTTTGATTGATTATCATTAGACAGAATTTTGTTTTGATCTTCATAACGAACATCAGGATTATCAGGGCCACTGAAGAAAAAGTCCAAATTTTTCTTTACAGAAAGATATAGAGCCTGTGTGGAAATTTTATGTGATAAAAGGTACTAATTTCACTAAGCAGTGGATCGTTAGGCGGCGGTAAATCAGATTTACTGGAAAAATACTTTTTATATTGCAGTAATGCATTTCTTGCTCATCGAGTGGCACAACAAACTTCCTCCCTCTTTTCATTGTCACCAAACAATAGTTAAACCAGAAACATAAATATTAAACGCAATGTTAGCAATAGCAAAACCTTTGAATCCTCAGATGAATTAAACTAAAACAATTTGTTTCACTTTGACAAATAACACACATTTGCGTTATGATGGTTACCTATCCTCTCGGTTTTATACATCAGCAACCTCGCCAGACTAGTTCGCCTCGAAGTAATTGTTAAACTCCTGCCCTTTATATTTTGGCAATAAAGCACTAAAAACTTTTGCCTTTTTAGCTTAGTCAGGCACTTTTTCGTAAAATTTTAAATCGGTTATATTTTTTTAACGAATGTAGATATGAAGCGTATACCTTTAATTCGTGAAGGTAGCAAATAGATAGCAATTATTGGTAATAATACATACTTCTGGAAAATCTGCTCCCTTCATCCTAAACAAAGAGGCGACCCGCCATCCTGACGTCAGGATGGCTGCTCAAAATTTTTTTTTAATTTCTCAGAATATATCATAGGTAGCAATTATTTAGAAAAGGTAGCAAATATGTAGCAATTCTTGAATATACACTCGGTACCAGACGCCACAGGCGACCCAGCCATCCTGACGGTCACAATTTCAAAACTCGACCATGGTTACGCTAAGCTCGCTATCGACCCGACTTTAGCTGCGGCTAATCTCGAGAAGACGCGAAGACAATTTTTTTGTGAATAGAACTGACTTTATCACAATTATACAATAATTGTATTCTAAATATCGCATTTCCAAGATATAGTAGGCTGAGGTCAGTTGCTGATAACATGGTGGTTAAATTTATTCACAGATTCAATGAATTATTCGTTTACGACGCTGTTGAAAGAGTAAATTTAGTTTTCGGCGGTTTAAGCCCAGAAGTCAACAAAACAATTAACATTCACGGAGAATTGGACCCCTGGTTTGCTCTGGGTGTACACCGCGATCTTCAAGAAGACTCACCTACTTACAGTGTACCAAGGTAAGGGAAGTTTTGAATGGGCGTTTTTCAGTGAACAGTTTTACAGTGTTTTCACATTTCCAGGTCCAATTTCCACAACATATTGTAAAGGCGCCTTCAAATTAGACGCTTATAGAAGCGCTGTTGTGGCCAATGTAGCGCAGCAGCGCCACTTCTTATTTTCATACAATATTTAGAAGCGCAGCTGCAGCTCCACAGTCGCGCCACTTTTGCAGACGAGATATAGTATGAAAATTAACAGCGCCACTGCAAGCGCTTCTACAAGCGTCTAATTTGAAGGCGACCTAAGTCTGTTCGACCCTTTTCTTAGGCCCATTATCTACCAAAACGGACCAGAAGCGAGCCGTTTCAATAATTCAAATACAAATATAATATTCCTAAATATAATATTCGCATCTAGTTGCCGGTTGCACAAGACAATGACTGAACCGAGGGATTTTTCTTGCAGGGCTTCCCACTGCTTCGACATGCAACCATGGTTGCCAACAGATACGATTCTGATGACGCGCGCGCAACAAGATGCGCGAAGATTGGTTGCCCAATGGTTGTCTGAGAATTAATTTGTTTTCTATTGTTTCTAGTGATATGTTTCTTCTGTATTTAAGGTTTTATAAATAAAAAAAGAAAGACTTATGTATTCCCGATAGTCTGGCGGGAGAACACGATTTTTTATATTAGTTGAAATTCCACAATCTGACAAATGGATAATCCACAGTAAGTTAATAAGAAACTCGTAACGGCTCGAAACAGATCAAAAATATAATCACGAATACTCACTAACCGCCCTACGAATATTTAAAATGCTAATTGCTAATGTCATTAAATGTACGGTAGCATTTCGCCTAATAATATCTATTGGCGGTGACACTATTTTACATGACAAATAAATGCACAGTGCATTACTGCCCTGGATGAGTCGGTGTGTTTTCAAAATGGCTCTTTTCCACTTCAATCCTTTTCGGAAACACAACACAAATTGTGCTGCGCGGGAGACGACGCTTAAATTGTCTAAAACTATACATTTGGCTATAGCACTAGAGGCAGTACACTGATACTTAAACGTAATAATAATATAGCTAATGTTTCGTCTTAATCAAAATAAAACAGCGAGCGTCCCTCCACGCAGCACTATATTTGCAGTGAGCGAGAGAAAGCGAGAGGTCTCTGATCTCTCTCTCGCACTCGCTCCGCTGTGACGGTACCAGGAAAGTAGTCTACTCTGCCGGGGATCGTAGCACTTACATAGTAAAGCTCACATAAATGAACATTCGAGTTTGGCAGTCCGTCATTTAAGTCGATCAATTGAACAGTCAAACAAAGTACATAATCACTGGATAGTTCATTGCAGGTTTAGTCACCTTTTTAAAAGTCAAACAACGTAATAAAAGTTATCGGATAGTTCATTGCAGGCTATATCGCCCTTTATAAATAAACTATAAAATATATTCAAAAATTCATTGCATTAAAAAATGTATAACTTAAACAATAGGACTGCCATTTGTACCCTGAACTAACTCAAATTCAGAAATGACGGCATCTTACTCCTATAGTACTTAAACTATGAATACTTAATATTACGCAGAATCTCACGAATGAAACGGTCGGAACGAGGCAAGTGCCGACAGTTGAATTGGCGAGATTCGAAACATTAATCGTGTATAGAGAGACGCGATAACCTTCGTCCTCGCTACAAAGACACACTTAGATAAATGTTTTATATACTGGTGAAATATTTACAAAATTCTAGGATTCAGGTTTGAAGTCATTCTACGACCAATGGTTTCGGATTCTCCCACGGGAAGCCATCTCGCCCGAAGTGACCGTATGTACTCGTTCTCTGGTAGATGGGGGCACGAAGGTTGAGCTCTCTGTAAACGCAACGTCGAACATCAGCTTTAGAATATCTAGTTACATTATCACTACAAAACGGATACACGACCATGCTTCTACCATGAATTTAAAGTAACAGTTTTTGCTACCGACAGCGTCAAATATTTGTATACTAAATTGTGAAACATTTTACAAAGTAGAAAGCGACAACAGGCTGTCTGTATAATTTCATGGTAGAGGCACAGAAGTCAATTACCCGAGCAATAGCTGTTCATACTTCAGGATTCGAAAAAGTAATTAACTAATATTTGGTAGTTTTAACAATCCCATGTCGCTCCTTGTAGCTATATCTATATATGTATCTATATATCTGGAACACCTTTTTCCGACCATTGGTTATAAACCCAGGGGTGAATTATTAGCAGCTCGTAAGCATATAATAACTATTATTCGTTTCAATCTATTTTACATGAAAAGTAAACACCAGAACACGCAAACAAAAATATGTAAGTCAAATAGTTGGCAAAAGCACTGGAACGAGAACACCCAAAACAAGAAAGTATCAGCGACGAACGGTTGGCCAACGGATAAACAAAATGGCGGTCTTAGTCGTCCGCGGTTACCAATTTCAAAATAAATTTTATAATATTAGCATAAGTAAAGTATTAGTGTAGTTAGCTTTGTGTTAAAAATTCCGAAATATATGAAAAAATCGTAGTTTAATTTATTTTGTCGCTAAATCGATTATTAACGATTCAAAATAAAGAGTTGGTCAATTGACTTCCAATCGTGTATTCGTAGCGACTCTTGAGACAAATCGTGGCAAGTGTTTGACTTATGCTTGGGGGATTAGTGGTAGTGAGGTATTCGTTATTTAAATTGAAATATTGTTATTGGAGTTCGGTAGTAAAAAGTGCCTACAAAGTCATTTGACAATTTGTGCAGCTCAAACATTTATTATTAGATTAAAGCGAAATAAACTTGTAAATAAAGATCCCAATCTTCAAAAGTTTTGGAGTTTCGTGCCCGATGCATGTTGGTTCTCGTGTGTTCATAATGTTAGGAAGAAGAATATACTCACTTGACTATTTTGCCAGGGCGCAGATCAAAGTTCTTCTGTACGATGGCGAGTAGTTGCTGCTGCGTCATGTGCGAGGTTCCGTAGTCGAACACCGTAATTGAGAGCGGCTCAGCCACGCCGATAGCATACGCAACCTGAAATAATAACAATAATTGAAAAATAATCCAAAAACTAAAAAAATAAGGATTTAAATGAGAAAAACACGAATGAAGAAGCCATAATGTTTTTGACGAAACGTATTAGGTAGGACAATTTCAGATTACAACATTTTTTATTTCATATTGTCAAAGCCACTTCAAAAAACTTTTTTTGTTTCTTATCAATAACTATGTCGATTGACATCAGTTTCATGGGTGGCCGCGATATCGCTATTTTTGTTCGGAACGAAATGGCGGACGGTGCATAGGCCACGCTCTAAAACAAAAATGTTCGAATTTAATGGATCCATCCGGTTTACGCGGATCATAAGTTTTAACGAGAAATATTGTGTTGGTTCGTAATATCAATCCTAAGCCCTATTACGTAACAATCGACTAGTAACTTCCAGGGCCTAAAAAGTAGCGCTAATGTAGTTTTCGTATCAAATTCGTAATCTTAAAAAAAAATTACATTATTGCAGAGGCCGGGAGTAGGGGATAGCCGCATGAGTATGAGTTACAAGGCTGAGTGCAGTGAGTCCTTGTATTACACGAGTTAGGCAATCCCCGTTCCCGCCAAGGTATACATATATAGTCTGAGTTTCTAAACGTCACTACATTTGTGAAATTTTAAAAATTCAAGTTATTAAATATCTCAAACTGTTACATAACGGGTTTTTTTGCATTTGGTTAAAAAGGACTATTTAAAAACAATATAAAATATCAAATATGACGCTATTCAAATCTCTATCGCTTCCTGATTCGTTAAAAAATAGGCGAGACTTAGAAAGCCAATCATGGACAGTTCTATTCTATCTCTGGTTTTTTGTTTTATAGCGTTTGTTTGGCTTTCGTTTGAGTTTGTTGTTGTCGATTGTTAACAAAATGTACATTAAATATTGGTTGTGTTTCATTATTTCAATTTACTTGTAGAAAAAGTATTGTATATAATAATGGCATAAATAGGTCCTCAGAACCCTCTTTACGCAACGATTACATAAAATACTATTTCGCACTTCTCACTAGAACTTATTTTCGCAAACATACTAAAAAATAACAAAAAACTACTTCAAGGTACTTTCGTTTATTTTTCCGTCATTTTTTAAAGTGTGGTTCAGGTACTGATGCCAGAGAGCAGTTGGCTACATGACAGTTTATATTTAGTCTGTTTATGCGCGCGTTGCGCCCTCCATAAATGGCAAACTCTGTGGGTTCTGTTTTAGGAAATACTGCAAACATTTCCGAGCATGTTTGAGAAAAATTAGTTGTTCCCGAATAATTGTGAGTAAGATTTAAATAAATTGTCCTTATAAGGTCCGAAAAACCTGAAAATTACCTGAACCATGCAGCGGCGGCACAGGCCCGCCTTGACGAGAGACTTGGCGACCCAACGTGCAGCGTACGCGGCGGAACGGTCCACTTTGGTGAAGTCTTTGCCTGAGAAGGCGCCGCCGCCGTGAGCGCCCCAGCCGCCGTATGTGTCTACGATGATTTTTCGTCCCGTCAAACCCGCATCAGACTGTTGGGAGACGAGATGGGAATAAATCTTATAAATAATTCTAACTTCCGTACTTGTAAAATACTGTCTTTTGTAAATTGAAACGACAACAAACATAACTTCTGTTAGAAGACTTAATTGTTCGTGAAATCGATTGCCACTGGGATCGGAGTACCAGGGTGTATTTTCGAATCATATGCCGATTAGTTTATGAAACGGAACTTCGTTTAAAGATGAACGAAAGCATCGTGATAAAATCTATACGTTGGATGTGCGAAGGCTCCAAAACGCATATTGGGCCGAGTGCATTGACCTACCGACAAACCAGGTGGTAGACTATAGAGTAACGCTCTAATTCTCATGTAAGGTCCTGTCCAGCACTGTGACATGTTTGATGATGATATACTTTGTTAGTTCCATGCTTACGTTAAATACTTAAGTAAACATTTTAAGGTACCTTAACTTCTTACTCGAAATTAATCTGTGTGTTGTCTTAACAAATAGATTTAGGAAAGGGAGTTTAAATTTCTTTCGAATAAAACTGTCGCGTATGTTACACGCGAGGGCGGTACATTCAAGGGTCACCATTACATTTTATTTTTTTTCATTTGTACAGCATACAGGCAACATTATAACGAACTCGTACATGATTTGAGCATGTTTACTGGTAATGATGTCAATTGCACAAACGTTCATTATCTTTAATACCCTATTAAATAATATGCTGGTTTCTAGTTTATGATGAGACAGAGATGACTATTTGATTTTCTACCAGTTCAACGACATTGCAAAACACAAGTATTTTTCAATACCAAGTATAAGCTGGTTTTTTTGAAGAATGTTAGGTTGAATCCCACTTGTCAATTACACACCGCATAAAAAACGATTTTGTAACGAATCAGGATTGGGCCAATTTTCTTGAAAGATGCGACATGTTACAGTGTATACGCGGTGCTAATAAGTAGTGTAGAATCCGTATTACTTACTAGCCTGGTCTGGATAAATATCTTAATTTTTCTACTTCGTCGCGACAAATTGGCAAATTTGTGTCAAAGCGGTTTATGTGCAAACATTTATATTTATAATGATAGATAGAAAACCGGTTTTAGAATATTTATTACCTACAACATTAAGATAACGAATATATACCGACTCTATTTCATAATTAACTCAATTAGTTACGCTAGATTTTCTGCCCCCGAGATGTTGTATTCGTAACACATGAGTGTCCAGTTTTATACACGACACATGCACGTGAATTCTAAACACATGCCTTCTTTATTTTAGAGCTGGGCTATTGTCGGCTGAGTAATTTCATATCACCATGCTACCTAGTATTTGTTATTAGGTTATATTTCTATACATTTTTCTTTCGTCAAATTACTCCTGTTACTCTTTTCTGTTTCTGTATTATAAAGCGTTTATATATTATTACACGCACACTGGCTGGATGTAAATGAAAAAACGTCTAATTCTTATTTATTTAAGTTAGTTTAGTTTTTTATCTATACAGATTTGAAATTCTATTCCAAAAAAAGCGTCTGTTTAACGGGAATATCTGTTTTGGTAGATTTTTTAATTAGTGTCGCAAATATTAGTCTAGAGACCCGCCATTGCCGAAAGAAGATAAAGTTGTTTTTCTTATTATAACAGCTAATAATCAACATATTTGCAAATAGACACAGGCCAGAGCGAAATTGGAATTATCGCTGTAAAACAAAAATAAACAATTATGTTTTCTATATGTTACAAAAACATAGTCTTGATTAAAAGCCGTCTCTAATAACAAACTACGTAAAAGTTCAAGATAAGTTCGGTTGCATCATCGATTGAAACTTACTTTCCACATTTTGCGAATCCCACTTTATGTAATTGTTTATTTGCATTCACAGAAGGTCAAATATTCATTATTCTATTAGCAGGTGGCCGCAATTTCGTCTGCTTAGATAGGACTAGATAAGTACTTTAAGTAATAATGTACTTGAGGAATGATTACTTCTACAAACTTTCATGTCCCGTTTCAGCCACTTTAAGTTGTCTTTTTTGAAGACGGAGTAAAATGACAGTTCATTACGCAAAAGTGTTGCCCGCTTGCGAGCAGCTACTGATAGCAATCGATAAATATTCTATCGACTAAATATTGGTCACGCTTATGGAATAAATAGCTGAACTTGTGTCATTCGTATCATCCTCGACCCATTATTCATCCAATTACTAGGCACAAGTTCGATTGAATTGTCAATTTTTGTAAGTTCATATTACATACACTGTATTTAGAACTATGTTTATGACAAATACAAAAAGGAGACATATAAAGTTTTTCATTCTAATTATTGAATTAATATATAGAGAATGAAATTCCGCTATTCTTGTTAAAATGTATATGAATAAAAATTGATCTCGATACAAGTAGACAAACTGTCAAAATAAAAATAAAGAAGGCAATAACGCAAGCTATTTAACTGCCTCGGTGACCGAACGGTTACCATGCCGGACTGCCACACAGTGGTCCCAGGTTCGTTTCCCGGGAAGGGAGAAATATTTGTATGGCCTACATTTCTTTCTCTCGTGTTTGGGTGTAATTTGTGGTTGTCTATATGTATGTCCATGGCACCCGCGACACAGGGTTTCCCTAGTGCGGGGCTATGTTGAGTGTATGCGTTATCAAAGAAGGCAATAACGCAATTATTAGAACGTCATAACATTCAAAATTCAGTTATTTTGGGCAAAATTTTATCTTCTTTTACAATCTATCGATAAAACTATCAACAACTACATAACTATTTAAAATTTTATGAGAACTACCAACCCTACAAATGTCATTTTACTCCGTCTTCCAAAAAGACAGACTACGTCCTTCTCCTAGGGTCCATATCTCTATACCTAAATTCATCAAATTTGGTTCTGCAGTTTTGGCGAGAAAACGTAACAGACAGAGTTACTTTCGCATTTTCAATATAGTTTGGATTTAAAGTGTACAAAGAAAGGTCTTCATAGGCATTGCAGTTGGAACTTAAGTAGTTCCATAAAATGTGATGCAATATAATGAATGTTGCCATTATGACGTATTGTTTATGTTACCAATAAACGATAATACATGCAAAGTTAATTAATGCCTGTCAGATAATTCATTTTCACTTGTTAGGTGCGCAAAGATAATGTCTATTAAAGTTTAGATATGTTTAATCGCTCCAAGGTGAAAGTGTCGTTAGAACAAAACCAAGTACACTCACCCTTATAAAATCAATTGATTACAAAAATACAAATTGTATTAACAATAAAGTAAGTAATGTAATATAAAATAATGTAATGTAAAATCTTTCTTGATCTTATTTAGAAATCAAATTCATTCATTGTTTAAGTCCAATAGTAGATGATAATGTTTATTCACACAATTAGCCATTTCTGACTTGCAATACATTTTTATGTCGGAAGAGTACATTATTTAAAATTATGTGAAATATCCAAAAAAATATGTCATAATTATAAATCTGTGTTCCCAATTTAACGAACATTAATTACATTACACATACTAAAAATCCAGAATATTATTAGTGATGACTAATTATTTAACTTTAAACTGTCAAATTATTAATTACTAATAATAATATATATTTATTCACTCTCACAAAAGGAAGGTTTGTGTAATTACAGATTGGCTATTAGTTAAGTTAAAGTACAAGTTCACTACCTTAAGCGAGAGACTGGAGTCCATACTAGGTAACTAGACCTGTGTTAGAGATCTCCAGGCTTCCATATTTTACAAATCAGTTTTTTAAATAAATTTATAATACACTATATAGTAAACAAATGCAGTGACGAGTTAAGAGTGCGCGTCGCTAATGCATGTGTATGGAGTGAATATGAATACTATATATTTAGTTTGTAATTCGCTTGGTCGCTTATATATTAGAATTACTATGCACTATTTAGGAACCCTTATAAGATTTTCACAAGTATCATAGTCCAAGGTTAAAGCGTTTAGCTATTTATGCGTGCATAAATAGTATACTAGATTTGTAAATTGAAGTAGTTGTATAAGTAACCTAATAGGAAATAGAAAAACTTCTGTGTAAAACTGTACTTAGTCTGAAATTTTGGGTAAATATCAAAGCGGCGTCTGTCTCTGACTAGCAAAGGTTTTATTCAATAAGCGAGTGGGCTTTAAGAAGACAATGCAGTATGAACATTTGGCATACTGATAATTTACCTGGCACTTGAGGAACACATCTGTAGAAGGATAAAGGCGAGGAAGATTCCATCGTGCTAGATAGATGTAAATCCAGTAACTTTTGAGGTCGGTTTTTTTAGTACTCTGCACTGAAATTATTATACTACGACACACACTGCTTTACTTTCTTGGTGGTTTTGATTATCTTGAACAAACGGGTTTGTATTACATAACTCGTACATAGATACAAGAGAAAGAAATAATTTCAAGTTTCACACAGGAGATCTGGTGGTGCCCTCCACATTGCTTTCACCCATATTTTTTGTGAGTCCTATCAGCACAGGACTATGTCACAACAACAATAGCAAAATCATTACCTCTTTTATTATAATAATTATTACTCTAATAAATACAGTAGAAGTGGTTAGTTAGCGTCTGACTCGTGCCAACATTACGTCTCGAAAGACCTACTTGAGCTCAGTCCACCATTTTCGCTTAGTATGGACGGCTGTGTCATTCTTTCGCGCAAATTCTCTAAAATCGCAGTAAAATGCCTTATTATGCTGTCTTGGTATGCAAAAACGACAGCCGCACCAATAATATTACAAGTAGTAGTATTTCATATCATCGGTAAGTCATATTTTAATATTTTTTTTAATTTTCAGTTTATCTTTCAGATGCACATTATTTTTACATTTCAGATATTATACATTTCAGATAACATCTAAATCATATATTTATATGATTTAGATGTTAATCGTTCGTCGTAGTTCAGCTATTGGCCGCAAGATGGCAACACGTTGAATAAATTTAAATATAAAATCAAAACGTCGTAACTTGTAATAAGGGTATTGAACTTTCAATGATAAAGCAACTGGGTAAAATTTAAATTGTATTAACAATCCAGAATTTCGTAAATTTTTTAAATTAGAAACTGTGACCAATCATTGTGAAGATTTCGTAGTGTTTATCATTTGTTTGTATGCGTTTTGACGACAGCGGTTCCAATAGTAATCGAGGCTTAAGGCACTTCCATTGTTTATTTTCTTCCGTGGTTTTCACTATGGAATGTAAATCCGAATCATATTTGAAATCCGAATTGCGCAGCGAATCCGAATAGTCCCAATTTTTTGGCTTTTTGAGAAAAGTATCGAAATTCGATAGTCACGCGATTTTCTTGAAAAAAAATGAATGTTTTGGTATAATATCAATCAAATTTTAATCTAATCTTCAGTAGGTAATTGAGATCCATACATAACACAATATAATCAGTCTTCTTGGAAATTACGCATATTTGTCTACCAAGACACATTACAATTCTGGAAATAAATAACTCTTCTTAAAGAAGACAGCTAAAAATTAACCAATATTAGCAATTAAAATTTCAAAATTCTATAACAGAAAAAATACAAAAACTAAAAATCACCACTTCGTAACTGTCCATAAAATGTAAAACTAAGTGTTAAGAAATAACCTAACTTTTTCCTCTGAAATAAAAAAATTAAAACTGATAGAGCGTCAATTGTTTTATATTTTTTTACCTACTACGGCACACGACACTGCGGCACAAAATTCCAAAATTATGTTCTTAAATTGTGTTTACGTTAAAAATATTATAAACATACTACCATTATTAGTAGTATTTGAAAACGTAAAAATTGCCAGTTAATTATTCATAATTGTGTCATCTCTAATATTTTTTGGTTTGAAAGAAGAGATTGCAAACTTGAATTACTACTCGGAACACGACGGAGTAGTAACTCAAGTTCAGATTCGGAAATTGATATAAAATTAAATGATGTAAATTAATATCAAATATTACATTTTTTTCCTTTTCATGTACCATTATTACCAACTACATAGCAGTAAGCATTAATAGGTATTACAAACTTAACTAATTTGTTTATAAATCATATGTATCAATAGCTACTTTGCAAACTTTATAATAATAGGCTAGGTAACTATTAATTCTACATAAATTACCTGTGGGTAGAGCTAGCCTAAATAATAAGCAGGGCCAAAAAATGTTCTGTACTCGTGCCATCATTAGTTGCCTAAGTAACATTTTGTTATTAAACATTCCATATTGAATTTGGCTAGAGTATAGCTATGGATTTACAAAGCAAATAACTATTACGGACAGTAGAAATATTGATTTCAAAAGCTAATATTAGTGTCACCTTTTACTAGCGGTAAGTAGGAATAGTAAGTTCTAGTTTAGGGAGGTACCACCGCAATTTCTACCACAAAGCAGCACTATTGTAATCCCGAGTTTTGAAGAGTAGGCAGAGTCAGCGAAATCACATACTCAGAAGACATCAGGCTATGAACCATCTGAGTGCAAGTTTGAATAGCAAAAAACATCAATTTCAGAGTTCAACAGTTAGGGTATGTTCACGTGACAAGCTTTCAAACGTGCGGAAAGAGCTGTGTTTGTGGATTTTATATCGTAGACGGAGACAGCAACGCAACAGGTGACGGAAATATTGGGTCCATCCTATTTTACTATCCAAACTCAGTGAAAATCACTTCATAACTTTGTATCCTAAACTCAGACTATACAACTATGTGTTTTGGAATTTCAATTGCAAAACACGTCTCACCGTCGAAAACGCGCGCACATGTGAACGGCAGTGCGGGCGTTGACAAGTGCCCGACGTTAATCGCGCTCTGGCCGCTCGCATGTGAACGCCTACAGCGATTTACGTACAAAATTCGGTAAGTTGTTAGCGCGCGTTAGCGAAATGCCCGTTGAACGCTCTTAGGTCCCAAGTGCATAAGTGTACAAACCTGAGGGCCACCAATGATGAAAAGTCCACATGGATTGATGTGTACGACAGTTTTTTCGTCGAGGTACTGAGGAGGGATAACCTCCTTGATAACTTTCTCCCTAATCTCGTCACGCAGGGTGTCAAGTGTGATCTGCCAAAAAAAGATCTCATGAAACCCGAGAAAAGAAAACAGTGCAGTTATACTGCCCTCCTTATCATAACTAACGTAATCGAGTTAATAACAAATCGAAATTGAGTTATTAACATATTTGGAATCAGTGAAACGAGATCTACAACCCCCATAAGCGTTTTTTATATATTTAGTTTCAGTTTTATTGTTAAGCAAAATCAGCGTAATTGACATTTTCAAAAAAAAAAAAACCTTTTCGACAGTTACCAAATTGCTAATGCGTTAGTTTATGGCAAGGAGAGTAGTATTACTAACTACAGTTGGCTTAGTGACCATTTTACTTCTATGCAAGAACGTCACGAAGAACAGATCAAGCTAATATACTTTGGACGTAGCATAAGAGTTCAATTTAAATCTTAAGTGTCAAGCTTGTGCTCTTGACCATGTATCACTGAATATATAGTGTATAGATGAACTTATAACCTGATAGTTCAATTCAAGTGTACTCGAATTCCAGCAGACGGCCGACAGCAATGAATGTTAAAATTGAGTGTAATTTAATTATCAAGTTTTTAACTGCTAAATTATAAAACGCAGCAGAAAGTTCACGTCAGTTATCAAACAAGTGCAACTTCCCAACCCCTACTGGGCAAGACTCACCCCTCATGGAAAAATGGCATAAGTGGAGTTACGTCAAACATGTTTATTGCTCCATTAGATACAGAAAAATATAACCCACATCCTCTCCTATATTTGTAACTTTATCTACAATATTAAATGAGTCTACTAGCGAAAGGTATATTGGTCGATAATGCGTCGCAGTATTGGAGAGAATACTTTAGTAGAAGGCAATATTACGTGCTTACTACGTATGTAAATAATTGATTTGTAACACTAACTTAGGCACATAAGAAAAAATTTAAAACATATGTGACCAAAACTAATTCGCGTCTAATGAAATAAAACGTGTACTTACATCATCTAGACACAATTTATGAACTATTGAATGTACTAGGTTCTCATTTCACAGTGATGAATTTAATTTTACTTGTCCATAAAAAGAATTTGCAATTAAAACTAATTTAGTTTCATCAACGTCATTTTAACAGGCAGGCGATTGAAAGTTTGTATAATAGAATAATATGACATACAATAATACAAATTGTTATAGCTAGATCAGCAATTGTAAAAAAAGTCTTACCTTCTCTGAATGCTGAAGTGAGACCACCACGGTGTGAACCCTCTGTGGAACGGTGGCTCCACCAGCGAATGTGTACTCGCAAGTAACCTACGGCCAAACGAATAATAAAGTTAAAAATAACAAAGTAATTACACTTATCTTACCGAAAATATATATGAGCTCAACTTTGATCCCATCGGCCTGTATAGGTACTGGTATAAAGGAATCTCAAGAACATGGCGCCTTTTACAATACTAATAGACGTAACTTACAACGTCACATATGAATTATTTACATAGCAACATAGGAAATTCAAATTCTGAATCGAATCATGTAAATAACTTGTTTCTGTACACAACACAATCGACGCGACGCCCATTGTGTTAAAGGAGATTACTGCATAAGGGGCGTAATATATATATTATAAGTGTAACTTTGAGATGGGACAGCCAGCCACCTTCATTGTTGTAGTTACAGGAAAACGGTTCTAGAAGACTATCCATGAATTTTGAAGATATTTTGATTGGCATTCACAGATTTTGAAAAAAGTACAGTCAGCAAGATAAAAGGCAATTTTCACAAAACTTTTTTTTATGCCATTCGATCCGGTCTTTGTTAAGGATCAATAGTCTCTATGGGGACCAAATGAGGTAATATGTATATATCTCAAACATGCTCGAAAATGTTCGCATTACTTTCAAAAAACGAACAAGGGAAGTTAGTTATTTAAGGACCGTGAGACTTCTTCCCGGCCAATGCCTGCAAAGTATGAAAATCCATTACTGTCCACTTTTATAAACTTTTAAATATATTTAATAACAGTGAATTATGTAATAAGGCAAAGGAATAATAACTCACACAGCCAACTGCCTACTACTAGTAATTGCGAAAATTAAAAATAGCGACTTATATCACGAACTTAAAAAAAAAGAAAAAGGCGGTAAAATAAAGTGCTTTGTACTTTTTTCGGTTTTTTCGCCTTTTTTGTATTTTCGTCGTGAAAATGATAAGAAATATTTCTCGTTGGTCAGATTGATGGTTAGAATGAGACGAGCGATAACGAAAATACAGTAATGCTTGTACTCCACCTAATTTAAAACAAGAGACAATGGAATACTTGTTGCCGGCTATGAGCAAAGTAAGATGCATGAAAACATAGGAAACTTTCATGCAATGAAGAAGCGGAAAAAATGCTAATTCGTTTTCGGAGACTGTTTGTGTTGATATGTCAAATATTACTTTTAATTTTTTTTTACTTTACTCATGCATCTTCCTCTCTTTAGTCTTTTATTATTTCCTTACAATGTTTGAAAAAAGCACTATACACGCCTCGGCCGGAACGGGGATAGCTTGACTCACATAATACAAGGCCTCACTGGCGCTCGGCCTTGTAACTGATACTCGTCCCTCAATCCTTTACTTCCCGGTCTCTGCAGTAATGTACTATTTATGTGCGAGTGTTAATTGCCATTGCACATCAAAATTGGCGTAACGTGTATCAATAAATCTGCTCTGGAAATTTTCAATAAAGATCATTTATTCTCATTGTGTGGTCAGACTAGGTCCACCACTCGACACTTCAATTGGCGGGTCTCGGGTGTCAGCAGACGTATCGTGTCGATTTTATCACCTATGGTGACTTGTATCTAAACATAATATTGCTGACATTACGACACCGGGTTATGTGACCCCGTAGCAACACACTAAACACGATAATATAGCGATATACTTATTGGTTATATTGGCTATAACAAAAATTTCACAAAAAATCTGCATTTCAGAAATGGTTAATCAAAACCTTATTTTTTAAATAACACAGGTATAGAAAACTAATAGTTAACCTAATATTTTTGTATGTGTAGATCTGTAATTAGAATAATTAACATTTAATGACTAAATAATATTGTTGCTAGTTTACTGTAAATCTTCCTAAAGGTAAACCAAAAAGTCAGTTGCTATAAAATTTAGTACATTTCTTAGATAATAAACTCAAATGCTTGTGAAATATAATACTGACCCAAAAAGATATTTTTAGATAAAATGAACAATTTAATTACTTGGATTTCGATAAGTATTACGTGATGTTGATAACTGATACACCAGATCATAACATTATATTGTTATGTATCATTAATATAACTAATGTATAATAGTCAATCATGTGTTATTATTACAATTAGCATCTTGAATAATCACATCAGCGCAGTGCCAGTTTGATAAAATAATGAGTAAAACCTATTTCAACTTTGATAAAATTTCGTTAGCGCGGATCGATCCGCTCTAAAACACATTTTATACAAATGTTTGAAAAAGTTGGTTGCAGTATATATATTTAAACATCAGTCGCAGGTTTACTGATCTGTTATAATAAATGCATACCAAAAACCGCGCAGAGCACTACGCGGTTTTTGTTTATATAATCAATGTAAGCGTACATTGATTATATAAATTATATAAGCTATTTATATCTAAGAAAAAACGAAGATTGTAGAAAGTACATAATTTCAAAGAGAGTGATTTTGTACAGAGAATGCTTATATTGAGTGACTAAACAATATAGCCCGAAATAAATGAAAATGGTGTCTCTAAAATAATTACCAACTGATTACCTGTGTCTTGGAATCTGGACGAGCCCACCAGAATTCGCCGTTTCGCCTCAATTCGGCAATCTTCTGGTTCAGTTTGTGGGCAAGAGCAACTGTCAATGGCATGCATTCCTCAGTCTCATCTGTCGCGTATCCAAACATCAAGCCCTGAGGAAAATAACTATATTAAAATATTACAATACAGGCATAAGGATTATGACATTATTTACACATAGTAGTATGTATATACTACTATTTTTGTGAAATTACAAGATTATAATTCTTAGTACAGAGACTGAACACTAAGAAATCTATTTCTTCACTCAGCCAGATTCAAACAGATGGCGCTACGGCAAAAGTCGTTAAAAACCAAAAACAATGATCAGCAAAGAAAAATTCGTAAGGTCTGTTGGTTCTTTAGTTGGCTTTGTTGGCATAACATCCGGTTTGCTAGAAGATGCAGGTTCGAATCCTGCCAGATCAAAGAAATTTATTCTTAGTGTTCAATCTTTGTATTAATAAATTACAACAAAGTAGTGGGGTAATTTCACAACAATAATTAAATATCATGGTGAAGCATTGTGACATTTAATAAAAACTTAAAATTACAAGATTTATTAATAAATTTATTATTAGATTATTTCGTAACTCCACAAAAACAATAAGCTTCAATTCAAATTGTTTACTGTACAGTATAAAAAATGATAAATATAAAAGTAAAAAACATTAGAAAAAAAATACAGCTGGTCAATATAATAATCAAGCATGTATTTATAACAATTAATTACTTCTGTATATCAAGTCCCAAGAACAGTCAATGACTATGAATGATACAAATGCAAAGAGTTCCTTGTTTATTGATACATGTATGGTCTCAATGATTGTGATTATTGTGCAGTAGTATATATCATGCAGTTTCTTCAAATGACATTTTTCAAGCTGAGGTTGATTGTGAAATAATTTTTAATGTTAAACAAATCCTTAAGTTATATCTTATATTAAATGGTCAATTCTAATAAAATAATAAGTAATTTGATAGTGGCTAAAACCAAAAATTGAATTTTTTTGTAAAGGATAACAGAAAGGATACAGTGTTTTTTGTAACTGTTTACTGCAACAGATGAAGACTGATGTAAAAACACAAAATTAGCAGTCCATATAAGTAACATTTCATACCTGATCTCCAGCCCCAACTTCTTCATCTTTTCTATTCTCATGCACTCCAGCAGCAATGTTCGGAGACTGCTGATCTAGGGCCAGCATCACGCTGCAAGTCTTGTAATCGAACCCTGGCCCCAACATGCACATTAGTTTTACCGATGATTAATATTGTTAATGTATACTTAAATTAAAATTCTTTCTAGCTTATGAATCACCAATTGTTTCATGATATCAATAAGGAACATAGGAAATTCATGTCATTAACAAATTCTTATATTTCATCCATGATCAATGATCCCATATTTTATTTGTAACTTTCTAGAAACTTATTTCGAGACATGCAACAAATGATAACTGATTATCTTAGCCTTTAGATTTAGCTTTTAAAATCCCAAAATGTTGCTCCGTGCAGCAGGCTTTAGAGGAATCAATACCTGATCTCCGGCTCCAATTTCTAATTCTGCACGGGATGTGTGGACCCCGTCGGCTATGTTTGGGCTTTGTTGTTCAAGAGCCACTAATAAATTCAGTGTACGCCAGTCAAAACCTAGGTGTGCACGAAACAATATTTAACTATTACTAAGGATGTCATTTAAATACAATTTTGAACCGTTTACTGGCAAGCCGCCAAGGTACAACTTATAAGTATTGTCTCACGCTTTCAAGATATTCTATTCACTCACCTTTTGAGGAGTCATCATATCCAATGTGCTTAACTGTCTCTCTAACAACTTTCTGGTAGTCAACATTAGCTTTGGAGGTAATCTCGCCGCACAGAAGAATCATTCCAGTTTTTGTTACTGTCTCTGTTGATAGAAATTCAAGGTTTGTACAAGTCCTTTGTTACCAAAATGTTCTAAAGACGAGTTTGTATCACACGAACAGATTTCGGGTAGCACGAAACTCACCGCAGGCTACTTTTGCGTCAGGATCCTGTCTCAGATGGGCGTCTAGAATTGCATCGCTTATTTGATCGCACATTTTATCTGAAATATAACAAATGACGCATTAAGACATTTCGTACCATTTTCATACATAAAAATATAAAGTGTAATGAGTAAGGAAATTGGCCCAATGTGAAAATTTCAACACTTTTGGCACGGACCACGTGTTGCGATAATTTTGACAAATCTAAAGACCGCTACGACATAATTGTGATGTAACAAAACATAACATTGAAAGAATAACATGTGTATATCCGAGATACAGTTCGGAGTGGGGTAGTTTATTTGTGATTTTACATGGAACTTGTGAAGAAAACGCGGAAATTACTGTTTGTACTTTATTTGCGCACATGTTTGTGACGGCCATCTTTTGGTATCGCTATAATCCTACAACATAAATGAGAAAACTAACCTGGATGTCCCTCGCCGACAGATTCTGATGTGAACAAAAACACAGATCCATCTTCCATATCATAACTGTGTCCGTTCGTTTTCGCGTATCCATTCATTTTTGAAGTCTCCGGCATTCTGAATTAGAGTTAGCCCACAAAAAATAACACGAGAGATGCCCCCTAAATTAACACTGTGGAAAAGAGGTCGTTTCTAGTTCGCGCTGATATTTATAAGGTCGGGGAAACGTCAGACTGCTGAGAATTTTAACCAATGAGAAGTGAGCTCCTGATACGTAACTGACTTATCAACGCTATGTGGTTGGCCAGAAATCACTGTTTTGATTGATCCTGAAAAATGTGACCGCGAACTTTAAAAAAAAAACATTAACATAAAACTATTTAAATTTTGTAATGGAGCAGATAAGCCCTAATTTATTTATGGATCACCTATATTGATACTGCGTTCAGCACTAGTCATCTATTGAGCATTGTTTATATTAATAAAATTAAAATAAATATTTAAACAACTAACATTTTTTATAAATTATGTATTGTAACATACATACATATAACATACAGTGAAAGGTAAGAAATAAGTATTAAATTTGCCCAAAAAATATTGTATCATTTTGTCGCAAACGAGGCGTGCGACCCCGTCCTACATACCAAGGGTTAAATATTATTTTCATGGTTTTGAAGTTTTTGTTATAAGCGCCCTTTCAACGGCAGCAGTATAATTAAGTAATTGTGTTTGGTTTTCTGTTTGGTAGGTAAGATAAAAAAACTTGCCATCCATGTTTGTGTGTTCAAGACTTTTTAAATTAGATTTATGCTTGTCGTCATCTTGTCGTCTATTTTATGCTTACAATTTTTCTTTTTTGTTAAATACTTCTTTGTTCCTTTGCATTTTTTTTTGTTTTAGTTTAATCACTTATTATTTTTCTTCTTTTCATGTCATTTTTACATTTTCAGTATATTTTATAGTTACAATATATTTTTTTTTTATTTATAATTCAATATAAATCTGCAGTAAGTATATAACGCGGATTCTTACATATTTTTGGAGCCGAAACCCATTTTAAAAATGGAGGGATTTAAAACCTGCTCGAGCGACTCGCACACTCTAAAGCACGCTCTGGTAAAGATCTTACAACCTTGAAGTCCTTGCGAATAACGCGAGGACAACGAGGACGCTAACAAATTTGGAGAACTTTTTGGAGTCTGCAGAGGTAGATAGAGAGGTTATTACATTGCATTTTTTTTTGTTTCTTTTGTTTAATCACAACGGTTTTTCTTCTTTTCATGTCATTTTACATTTTCAGTACACTTTATAATTACAATACATTTTTTTTATTTACAATTCAATATAAATCCTATAGTAAGTGTATAACGCGGATTCTTACAATGATATTATTTTTACATAATCAATTTTTTAAGAAAAGAAAGTACATGTACAAGCAAATTCGATCTACAGTAATTCAAAATTATTAGGATTGTATAGGGTTTTTCAACAAGAACTTTGTTTTGTAAATCAACAAATTTAGATGACAAAAATCTAATTTTTAATGCATTAAAAAAAGTAAGGGTTGGCAATTATGAATGAAAAATTATATCTAATAAATGTCCACCACGACCACAATTACAGATGTCGATTCTTGCAACAAAGTTTTTAATCACTTTTTGACAAAATGGTTTCGTTAATAACTTCACGAATTTTGAGTTTTAAGGCTGCAATCGATTCGATTGGCTCCGTATAGACTCTGTCTTTAACATAACCCCATAAAAATAATCCAGCGGTGTTAAATCCCATGATCGAGCTGACCACTTAACGGCTGAATTTCGTGAAATTATGCGATCGAAATTGACATCTCACAAAATGACAAAATCAAATTGCGCTAGATAAAACACCCAAAATTTCAATGATCATAAAATTAAATAATCATTGGTCCAAATCTTAAAAAATCGAGTATACACACTGGATAAACACTGACAAAAATAACTATTATTGTATTGTAGTTACCTGATTAAAAATATCTGTCGCATTAAAACTCTTTGGAGTTCACTTGAAACTATTTGGCCAAAATTAAATTTCAAGAAACACTTGATTTTTGTGCACACTGCGCTTTCGAAAGATTACTACAACTGACTGAGAGTGTTTACAAAATATTTCTACTTAAATGACGATAGAAACGTTATAATTACCCACATACAGTATTATAATTTATCAATATTACAATAAAACGCATAATCCTGTAGGGTCGCCAACACAGATGTTTTCGAAAAATTCTGATACGTCGCAGTCGTTCGAACTAACATTATTTACTTAATTTCGTTCATATTCATTGAGGTGAATTATGCAATTTAGATACCTACTTATTTTACCTAGTAGCAGAGTAGTACGTGTCGTTCATCATCATCATCATTCAGCCATACAACGCCCACTGCTGGACATAGGCCTCCCCCAACTATCTCCCCCAACCACGATCGATCCTGCGCTGCCCGCACCCATCGGCTTCCCGCGACCTTTACCAGATTGTCGGTCCACCTGGTGGGGGGCCTACCCAGTGAGCGTCGTCCGGTGCGCGGTCGCCATTGATAAAACTTTTCGCCCCAACGGTCATCGGTTCTCCTAGCTATGTGACCCGCCCACTGCCACTTCAGTTGAGCAATTCTTCGAGCTATGTCGGTTACCATAGTTCTCCTACGGAGTTCCTCATTTCCGATTCTACCACGTAGGGAAATACCGAGCATCGCTCTCTCCATTGCCCGCTGAGTGACGCTGAGTCTTCTTATGAGGCCCATAGTGAGGGACCACGTTTCTGATTGGTATGTGATCACTGGCAATACATACTGGCCAAAGACTTTCGTCTTGAGACACTGAGGTAATTTGGACACAAAGATTTTTTGCAGTTTCCCGAACGCTGCCCATCCGAGCTGGATTCGACGAGAGATCACTTTCTCTTCTTCTTCTTCTTTTTGAGAAAGTGATCTCTCGGTCGACAGAGAGCTGCCCCAGGTATACATAATGGTCAACAACTTCGAGTGTAGTGCTCCCATTTTTAACCTGAGCGGGTACAACATGGGCATTCGACATGATCTTCGTCTTGTCCATATTCATCTTAAGACCCATTCTTTAGAAAATACTACTGAGATCTTTGAGCATTGTGTTCAGGTCTCCCAAGGTCTCAGCCATAAGAACTATATCATCGACAAATTGAAGGTGTGTTAGATACTCGCCGTTGATGTTGATGCCAAGTTCTTTCCAGTCCAGAAGCTTGAAAACATCCTCCAACGCAGCGGTGAACAGTTTCGGAGATATCACATCTCCCTGTCTCACGCCTCGTTGCAATTGGATAGGATTAGAGTTTTGATCCTGTAATCGGACTGACATAGTGGCGTTTTTGTATAAATACCTCTAACACCTCGATATACCTACAGTCTACTTGGCACCTTTCTAGAGACTGCAGCACCGCCCAGGTCTCGATCGAATCAAAGGCCTTCTCATAGTCCACAAAGGCTAAACAAAGTGGCCGGTTATACTCCTCGATCTTCTGTATAACCTGCCACAACGTATGGATGTGGTCTATGGTACTAAAACCCTTTCGGAAACCGGCTTGTTCGGGAGATTGGAAGTTGTCAAACCTGCGAGCGAGACAATTCGTGATAACTCTCGAAAACAACTTATAGATATGGGTCAGAAGCGAGATTGGCCGAGAGTTCTTCAAGAGTGTTTTATCACCCCGTTTGAATAACAGGACGACCTCGCTTCTGCGTTTCGGCGTTTGACCTTCGACGATGACAGAATTGAAAAGCTTCTGGAGGACTTGAACTATCGGCTTGCCGCCCGCTCTCAGAAGTTCTGTAGTGATTCCATCATCGCCCACCGCTTTGTTGTTCTTGAGTTGTTTGAGAGCCACACTAATAATAATAATAATAATAATAATAACGCACACACTCAACATAGCCCCGCACTAGGGAAACCCTGTGTCGCGGGTGCCATGGACACACACATAGACAACCACAAATTACACCCAAACTCACGAGAGAAATAATTGTAGGCCATACAACTATTTCTCCCGGCCCGGGAATCGAACCTGGGACCTCTGCGTGGCAGTCCGGCATGGTAACCGTTCGGCCACGGAGGCAGTTTCATCTCATACAGGCTGACGTCCGGGATATCTTCGGTATAATGTCGGATAAGCTTTCCTCTGGGGTCTTTAGAATCGCTTTCAACAGGTGCTTTCGTGGAGTATAGCTGTCGATAGTAACTTTCTACCTCCCTCAGGATTTCAGGCTTAGATGTAATGCTACCGTCATCAGTTTTCAGCTTCGTCAGTTGGCTTTGCCCAATAGACAGATCTCTCGCGAATACCTAGGAGCCTTTGTTCCGCTCAATGGCCTCTTTAATATGCTCCCTATTAAATTGGTGTATGTCATTCGTCAAAGACTTCGATATCTGCCTATTTAGCCGCCTGTAGTGACTTGCATCCTCTGAGTTCTGAGTTCTGAGTTCTGTAGCCTCATTTCATGTCTCTGTTCCATGAGTTGGAGTGTTTTGTCAGAGAGTTTCTTTATTCTGGTACGGTGGGTTTTGAAAAACTTGGACCCAACCGTACGGACGGTACGTATCCTTAACTTTTGTTAATTAGCTTAAGCGTATTATTTTTGCAAATAAGTCCAATCTTTAGACGTGACTCGTTATACCTAGATCGTCGCTGCCTAATTATTATTATTATTGAATTGTATTAGAAACAGATACTATAAAAATGTCATAAAATAATTCAGTTTATACAACAAAACTGTTTCTATCTGTGTGAAATTTTAACTTTTTCTCGATATCATCCTCAAAGTAAACAATGTGGTCGTTTTATTTTTTATTGTTGGATATTAATAGGCTGACGTTTAGTGGTTTCTTAGTTTTTTATACCTACTTATAATAAAAATTACAGTTAAATAGAGTTTTTGTTTTAAATAAAAAAAATAGAAATATGTTGTATTGATTAATAAATTAATCACAAAAACCTTTGAAGTTTACTTTTGACTGGTTTTGCTACAGTGGGTTTATCGAGAGCTGAACCAAACACATCCCTGAGCAATAAATATGGCAACATTTGTTTTCAAAGTGTCTTTTAGTAGCCTTAAGTTTCTTATTTCTAATTTAAAACCCGACTCTAATAAAGCTTAATTTCCATTTTCGCGGAACGTAACGGAAGTTTCGAGTTTTTGTAACAGAATTGTATTGTGTGTGTATTGTAGTTGTAATGATTAATGAACTTTATGCAATTTGTGTAACGTACAAACTAGATACGATATGGTAACTG